CTGTCTGGTGAGTGCATGCGCCCTATAGCGAAAACCTCTCAAAAAACAAAAACAAAAACAAAAACAAAAAACCTAAGTCTCAAACTGAAATTTCAGGCTTTGACCAACTGATGAATGGGGCCTGGGTCCATGTATTTGTGTCCTGTGCCATGTCAGTGCGTGTAAGGGGAGGCAGAAGGAATGTGGTGAAGTAGGAATGTAGGCAATAGGGATGGCTCAAAGCATTTTGAATAATATCAGGTGGTTGACTATTCTATTAGTTGAGAATATGATTAATACGGGACCAGCAGTTGGCATAATGGCTATGTCACTGGACTCCCATGCAGTCAGCTGTGTTTAGTGTCCCAGACACTGTGGCTTAAACTCACACCAACTCGTGTGCATGCGTGCCCAAGATCCCAAGAGGAGAATGGAAGAGAAGGGGTTGCAGCTTGGTCATGCACCCTGAGGGGTGATTTCTCACTTTCTGTCTCTCTGTCGCTCTCTGTCTTTCTGGTGAGTGCACGTGCACTATAGAAAAAAAAACTCTCAAAAAAAAAAAAACAACAACAACAACAACAAAAAAACCCAGAACAGGATTAATATAACTAATATGACTATTAGTCGTAGTGACTAAAATGCAGAAGAGCGTTTTTTTCCTCTTTTAATAAGAAGAGTGAAGGTAGCTGATTGCTGGTTCAGTGGCTTAAAAACATCAATGTAGAGGTCTCTGATTCTCTTGCTTTTTTTTTTTTTGGAGAATTTTTTTGTTTGTTTTTGTTTGTTATAGGGCGCATGCACTCGCCAGAAAGACAGAGAGAGACAGAGAGACAAAAAGTGAGAAATCACCACATGGGGAGGGTGGGAGGTGGCCACGCCACAATCCCTTCTCCTCCTCCATTCTCCACGCACGCACACGGTGTGAGTTTATGCCACCAGGTCCGGCACTCAAACCATAGTCGCTACATGGGAGTCCAGCAACATAGACATTATGCCAACTGCTTGTCCCATCTTGGCCCTTTTCTTAAGGCCCTCAATCAGCTGTCAGAATTCTACTCATCAGGACCATGTTTCAGGTGGGGAGCTGGAGAAAACATGGAAAGGCAGAAGGAAGGAGAGGGCACAGGGAAGATGAGGGTAAAGACCTAGAATGTCATGTTAGTGAACTGTGTGGAACAACAGCCAAATATGAGGTGATAATATTACTTGATTAAATAACTTTTTTTCATTATGCATATTAGTAAATTTAAGGATGATGAACTTATTGACCCCTTAGTAAGATCAGTAAATATAAGCTAATAAATTGTGTTCTAAATGAAAACTTATGGGTTTAACTATTGATTCATTTTATTTCATCCCATCAACAAAGCCCTAATCACACTAGTATTGTTAATCCAAATTTATTGATTAAGGACGCTTGTATGTCAGGCACTGTGCTTATCTTTAGGGATATAGAATATTAGAGACTTTTTGTCTTCTAAAAAGTTGTTAAATAATGGAGGAAACAAGTAAATCAACAGGTAGTTTCCTTTTATTTCCACAGGGCACCTGCACTTGCAGGTGAATGGGGGTGTAGAGGAGAGAGAGAGAAATTGAGAAAGCACCCTCAGTGGAAGGTGGTACACTACAATCTCTTCCCCGTTGTTTCTCCATTCTGTCAGGAGTTTGGGCACACATGCACATGTGTCCAGCATGTCTTGCAAGCCTCTGGGGTAGAATTTGAATTGTTATTGCTCATATGGGATCCAGCTCACTTAACCACTGTTATGGGGGCTGGCCCAGTAAATGCTTTTATTCTTTAACATATCTTTCTAAGGATGCATGCACTTGCCAGAGAGAGACAAAAAGACAGAGAGAGAGAGGGAAAGGAGAGAGAGGGAAACTACCCATCCACACACCCCTATGGAGATGGTCATGCTGCAATGCCATCAGTTCTATCGCTCCCTCCTCTCAAGATTTTTTGGGCACATTTGTGCATGATGTGATTTTCAAGCTGCAGGATCCAGGACTCAAACCACATGGTCAGCCATGTAGGATCAGCTACCTTAACCTCCAAGCCACAGAGCTGACCCATGCTTTTGGTTTTTTTTTTTTTTTTTTTAGAGATTTTTCCTATAGGGCGTGTGCACTTGCTGGAGACACACACACACACACACACATACCTGGAGGGATAGCCACACTGCAATCCCTTCTCTTTTATTCCCCTCTCAAGAGTTTGGTCATGCACACACATACTCCCAATGTGAGTTTCAAGCTGCTGGGTCTGGGACTCAAACCATGGTTGGCTGAGTGGGAGTCCAGTGCCTTAACCAGTACACCACATGTGCCCCCCCCGACCCCGACCCAGGCTTTTTAATATAGGTGAGGCAGTCTATAATTCTGTGGTTGGTCAGAATTACAGTTTCTATTCAAGTTACCTTTATTTTTCACTTCACAGCATCAGCCTAAAGGATATTTGTATATAAAATATTTTTGTTTCTCTGTTCTGCATTAACTCCAGGAAGCTTCACTTGGAAAACAAGTATTATTCTTACACAATTAAGCCAGGAGAGAATTCATTATTTCTCTCTTTTACCATTATTTTATTCTACTTTCCTTACTTTCTCCTTTTCTCTCTCTCTCTCTTTTTTTTTTGTCTTCACTGATTTTATTAAACCACTTTGAAAGAAATTGTGATCTTTACTTACAGCAAAGGATTAGATGCTAAACTATGGCTAGTATTATTCAAAATTTAAACGTTATTGTCTACAAACACTTCTTTTCAGCATTTTATGAAAAAGCTATGTTTAGTAGTTCCAGTAGTGGTAATGTGATATAATGTTTTACTGAATTTCTGATAAAATAGAATTTTCAGATTATATAATTTTCAGTGTATATGCAAATATATGTCATTTTATTACTTTCTGTTCCAATAAATTGCAGTCATTCAGAATGAGATGTAATAGTCTTCTGTAAAGGATTTGTGGACAAAATTTTTAAATCTGTATATATGACAAGTGAGTTGTTTGAATCTAAATATGGGAGAGATAACTTGGAAATCTGCTTATAGACATTTGGACTGAACATCCACAATAGGAAAGAAATAAAATTATTCGTATTGTGCTCATATTTAAGATAAGGGGAAAAAAGTGGTTTCTGCTATTAGATCTAGTGTTAAAGTGCAACCACAAAGGAGAAATAGTTTCAGAATGCTCTGTGAAAGTAGCAAAAATGAAATGAAAATATAAATGTCTGATGAAAAGTAAACTATCTCTTAAGGGCAGAATTTTTAAAGGGAACTTACCCTAAAATCTCTTTAGATGTTCAATCTGTAGTATGAACATTTAATCTTTTTTGCTCAGCTTTGAAATTGAACCCATTTAAATCTGCTTTGTGCCATTTTAGAAAGGTATATACATTAGAGAAGTTGTTTGAGTCATCTCCCAAATTAATGCCAAAGGCAAGAAACCAGGCCTTTGAATTTACATTACTGGGACAAAATCAGAATGCTTGGAGGTTGTAATTTTAGAGAGACAGGGAAATGCATGAGCACCAGTGGATTCCTGTGTTTTGCTTACAGATTGTTTGAAAGAGATCATTTAGTTTTTGTTACTGTCTAGAGAATTTGAAGTGATTATGAGTATGTACTTTTAGATGACTTAATTCAGATTCAGAATTAACAGTCTGAATCAACTTTGAGACTAAAAGATTCTCTTATTCAGAGGGATGATTTCTTTAGGACTCTGGCTAATAATCTTGTGATATGCTTGCATTCTTCTAAAAGCATGAAGAAGAATGGAGCAAGATGCCTATCCCAGTAGGAGGAAAGGTGAGAATTAAAGTATCACATTTTGATAATGTGAATTAAGTTGATATCTATGTAGAAAGTATCCTTTACTGTACTTTAAAAAAAAATCTAGCATTCTCTCTGTTTTACAGGTGAGTCCTTCCTGTTTCTGCTTGGTCTCGTAAATACTATATTTAGTGTGGAAAATTAAATGGACATTAATGATTTAAATTAACATTGGAAAAATATTTTTAAATATTCTTTTCAAAGGTGGACTTTTTTCTTACTGAAGTGAGCAACTTTCATAAGCTATTAAGCTAGATGTCTTTATAATTCTTTCTGAACTAAACCTTAACTAGTGTTATTGTTTGACACTTGTTTTAATAAGTCACTTCTTACCTCATTTTTT